AGAGAATTCCTCGTTGGTAGCAATTGAGACAACGTGTCCCCCAGCACCCTTTTGTGACAATGTGGACTGTACATTCTGTTCAGCTTTGATATTCAATCCAGAGTGCTGGCCGGTAGGGGCTATCGGAGTGACCGCGTTGCTACTATACTTCATTATTACAGGCTGCTATGTATTTCTGTATGTTCCGCTTACCATGGGGAAACCAGTTCGCATTCTTCTTACCTGCATGCAGTACGCTTTTGGATGGCTTTCTAGGATGGCATGGCGCGCACTTTGTCGCTTCCGTCGTAGACGGACAAAGGACTTACTCGAGTTGCTGGCAATAGTACTAGGACTAGCGTCTCTGGTGTGCACGGTGAACGGATGTCAAGAAATTAACATTTTTTCATCGTGAGCAACACCGGTCTGCAGCCACTTCCGAGGACAAACAACTGTGCAAGGTCCAGTTATCGGAATTACTTAAGATCAGCTCCTTTAAGCGTGAAGCATGCATCAAGCTGACGAAAAATTATACTACCATACATGAACTACGAGTTTTCTGGAGAACACCTATCTTCACATGCGATCCCGAAACCGACTACTTCACAAGAGATACGGAATATCGCGTAGTGGATAGCAAACGCTGTGCGCGCAATCTGTGCGCGCATGGGATCCTGCATTAGGGGAAAATGTGAAGACATTAATGGATCCAGCTTGATCACGGAACTCGAAGAAGGAAATTCATATCCCGGCACAACATACTGCGTAGAATCATGTGGCGGCCTAGGCTGCGACTGTTGGTACTGGGGTTCTGGGGTGCTTGTTTTACCGCGTGTATCTAGTACCTGTCTCCAACAAGATTTTTGAGATCTTCCATTGCAGCAGATGGAAAGAAGCTGCGAAAGTTGAATTTGTTCATTTCAACGCGTTGAGTAATCAGAAAAAGAAGTACGTTGCTCATATGATTCCGAGTGTGCCGGTAAAATGGGGCGCATTTTCCTTCTCGCTTAGCTCACTTACGCTGCCACCCACACCAGCTCTGAATACACACTTTATTGCGGACAATAATGAGACGGCTCTGTGGGATTCGAGTTTACTTCCAGCGTTATTCTGTCAAAAATTCGAGTGCGGCGGAAAAGCTTCAGTGCGAAGTAAGGGAGGAATGCGCATGTTATCCAGCCGAATTAAAGGTCAACTGTAAATGCAAAGGCGTGGATATCGCGGAATGGTTTAGGAATCTCCAACACCGCTTTCCTGTAGTAACTCCGGCGCTAACGTTCCGAAGAAATCAGGAAGGGTTGGTGCAAGCGAGTGTTTCGACAATGGTTATGGCAGAGATTGTGATTAATATTCAGGATGAGTTCGAAACGAGTCTCCTAGTAGATGAAGCGATCTGTACAGTCCCCAATACAGTACTCACGGGTTGTTACAGTTGCGCGAAAGGAGCACAAGCCCTTGTGTCCTGTACATCATCACGGTTGACACAAGCTCAAATCGTATGCAGTGATTCAAGTTTTGCCATCAGTTGCGATGAAAAAGGTTCGGAGTCAGTGTTGCGATTCAGTTTCGCGAAGGCCCGTATAAGAATGATGTGCTCAGTCTCCTGTGGTGGCTCACCATCCACATTCGAAATAGCGGGAGTTCTAAAATTCACGCATTCGGTAGAGGGCATGATTAGCCTATGGATCGATGGACATACGAACAGTTTCCAGGAATTCGAATGGCCGGACGTATTTCATATCGTTGACGTTTTTATCCAGTGGTACAAAACGTTGCTCATAACTATCATCGGTCTCGTAGCATTGGTGGCTGCAACTTACCTGCTTTTCGCTACTTATGGACTGAAGCTAATCGGGGGCACATTTCGAGTCTTCACTACGATTTTTCAGCTGTTTTTTCGTGTTTGCTTTCGCGTCCCCTGCACTTTCTCAAAAGGGCTCCGCACGATGCATGAGAAGCTTCTATAAACGACACCTCTACGGCTTATGCACAATAGCTGGTTATAGAGTAGAATTTCGCTTTGCATGGTCCAAAAATACGTCCTGCAAATAAGAAGTTCGACCGGATCAAGTACGCGTTTTCCAGGATGGCTGCACAGGACGTAGACGACGACACGAAGTATTGGTCCACGTTTATGGTCAAGCAGCACTACAGATGGGAAGCCATCAAAAGCGACCTGGATGCAATGTCCGAAGCGTTTCAACAACAGATCAGTATCGCGTCAATGATCCAGCTGCAGTGGAGCTATACCCAGACAGAAGAAAGCTTTGTGTTGGGGACCCCGGCTCACAAGATCCGGACTGTGTCGAAGGTTATGAAGGACCTGATCCTGACGAGAGAAAGGATTTCGCGTATGGGAGTTCGCTTTGTGTGCACCCTCCGCTTCTACAAGGACCAAATATTCATCGGTAAGCCAAAGAAGCCTAAGGAGGAATGGGAAAGTGAAGCAGAAGCAGCTCTTCTACAGCTCGACAAGAACGTTAAACGATTCAGTGCCGTTATCAAGGAAATGGAGCGTGAGATGGAGCAGGCAGAGAAGGACTTCAACGTAGGGCCCTGCCACACGAACGCTCAACACATCAACACCTTATTCCGTCGAGCATTCGATAATTTGACCGCAACGGATAAGGACAGTGCTGAGAAACGTTTCGAGACTCTTCAGCAAAAACTAGACGAACAGAGTGAAGAAATATCGCGTCTGAAGAAAGCGCTGGAGCCGAAGCAGAATACGGCGGAAGACGTGGAAATGACGGATGATGTCTACTGGTCGCGTATGGTAGAAGAGGTCCACGATGTTGACGAAGCGAACCAGGTCCAGACCTCCCCACCGGAACTCGTATCCGAAGGCCCAGATGAGGAGGAAGAACTGGATTTCCGGTCAGCGGCTGGTGATGAGGAAGAGGCCATGCAGAAAGAAGATCAACTAAAAGTGGTGTGTGACGAAAAAGGAGAACGCGTAGTCGAAAGAGTTCAAGCTGATCGAGTAGTGGAGCGCGTATCAGAAGGTCGTCACGAGGATCGTCGTCAAGTTCAAGCTGATCGAGTAGTGGAGCGCGTATCAGAAGGTCGTCACGAGGATTCGTCGTACAGATCAAGCCTGAGTGAAGTAGTGGAGCGCGTATAAGAAGATTGTCAAGAGATCATCGTGAGGCTCCACGACGGGACGAGAGAGAGCTGGAGAAGCTGATACAGGACGTGCAAAAGAAAATCGACCACATGGAACGAGCTCTGAAAACATTCCCGTACAGGAAGAGGGAGACTTTCTCTCCTGGTGTGAAGAGGACGACCAAGTGCTGTTTCTGTGGCGTCGTTGGAAGGCATTTCTCGGACTCGTGCCCGACAATCACTGACGGGCAGGAGAGATGGGAACTCATGCTGGAAAGGTATTTCTGCCAATACTGTCTGAAACGATGTGGAATGTTTGACCTCTGCTCTTACAAAAAGAAGCAATGTTTTTATTGTGAGCGCGTGAAGGGCACACCGTTCGAGTTCGTGATTCCGAGTGAAGAGCATCATACGGCTCTGTGTAAAGTCCCAGACAGAAGAGGAAGGGCCCGTACGCGTATCGAGGAGGCCAGGGAAGAACTTCGTCAGCTGCTGGGAGAGTTGGCGTTGGCTACGGTACTGCGCAGACGTGAGCAGGAAAAACGACAGGAAGAGGAGAAACAAGGTGGAAGGAAGTGAGGGAAACCGGAGTTTGGGCTCAATTTGGACTGAGATGAAAATCCTTGAATGAATTGATTGATTTGATGTTGATTTGTTGATTTTGCCTTCGTTATTGTCGGCCGGAGTGACGGCAACCGTCCAAATTTATTCACTTATTTTTTATTTTCCTCATATATTCACTCATTTATTCATATGCTTATGCTTATTATCATCTTATCATCCATTTATGCTTTTCTCATTTATATGCAATGTACTCCTTTGATTTCTAATCGATGGGACTTTGCGTGCATAGAAACGATGATGTTTTTGATCGTGGTGGCTGATTAGAGTCCTTACAGTTCTCGACGAGGCTTCTCCATATAAAAAGGGCATCGACGGGAGGGAGAAGAGTCATTCGCGTAGCTGCCCTTTCGCGTTTCTTGCTCGCGTAGCAAAGGAGTTTTTTCAGCTTTAATTCATTTATTTCATGCTTAATTCATTTATTGGTAGTCTCTGTAATCCCCGTAGGTCACGATGCATTATTCACTCATATCTCAGCTAAAAATGATCGAATTTGGGAGATTTTTGAATTTTTTGATTTCTCAAATAATCGTGCATTTATTTTTATTATTTTATTTAGAATAAAGGTTTAATTACCCAAGTTTGAGGGCCTTCTCGAGCAACACAAAATACCCGCGTGGCAAAATTTGGTTTGGCGAGCTTTGGTTGAAAAGTTGAGAAGGTCTTCACTTGTCCTTCTTTAGAGACGAAGGTGTGTCGTTGTGGTAACATAAGTGTGTGCTGTCTTGGCCCTTGATGTGCGTGGGTAATCATATTTTCTCGACTCGTGGCTAACCCTGGCACTGGTGTCTTAGATTAGTTACCCCTCTCCTTGACCCTCCATGGTAACCGTGTTTACATCGTTGACAATGTTTTGCAGAATGAAACCGATCCTATTTTCTCTAGGCTCTGTCTGACTGGCCTCATTTCTGCCTTTAAAGTCAAATGTGATGCGAAAATTTCTCAGGGAAGGAGTTGCGTTTGACCGTCTTGGAAGAGAAAGAGGCCAGGCCATGATGCAATCCTTTCGCTATTTCTTTTGATGCTCTAACGACCCTGTATCTTTACCGCTTGGTAAAATAGGCTTCATGTTAATCTTTCAGCCTCCGTTATAGTCCAGTGTCGCTTTGTGTCTTTGATTTGTTTAGTTTTCAACTTTTTTTCTAGTTCGCAAGGCCAAAACACGGCTGTACATTGAACGATGGCGTTGTAGCGCTCCACTAAAGAGTCTCTTAAGTGGCTGACAATTATGGGATATTTACGTCCTCAGTGTCCTACACTGAAGCATGTATGTATATGCTACGAAAGTGCACACTTTATATGAAGCTGCTATGTTTAGTACACAACACAGCATAATTTAGGGCTAAAAAGTTCAAGGGATTGGACCTCGTTACGACGAGTCGAACATACCGTTTGAATTTTGCTCCAGGGGGAGGCACATCTGTTCCTTCGCCGGCTTTTCCAAGCTCATTGAGCAAAAAGTTGGCCTGCTTTTCGGTGAGTAAAATGTCTTTATCGAATATACCGTTATCAGCAGCAGTGACCTGAAATGGCAGAAAGGAAAGAGGATGAAGTGGTCCGCTCTGATCGCAATTCCTTGGTTTCTACTTCTTAAAGGAATCTTCCACGGAAAGACTGCTTATCCTTTCCTTGTGTACAGGTGTTGGGCATGGTCATTGAAGACCATATGCAAAGTTCAGAGCGAAAATGATGAAACCCCCAAGAGAAACAGCCCTTGGAAAGACCCATCTGTGGGACCGGATTGGACCAGTAGGCGGGACCGGAAGTGCTTCTGTGACGAAGTGCGTGGCAGGTGCGGATCCACGTGTCAGTTTATGGGAAGGGCCCAACATGAATCCAGTTCACGTTCACGCTTTTGACACGTTTGCACGTGTTGACTCCACGCCGCTAACAGTTGTGGAAGTTTTACAGCGGGAATTCAAAATTTTCATAGTCGAACTGGTTATCATAATTATTATCAAAACCATCGCTTATGTTCCGTTCTTTTTGCTATCTTCATGAAGCAAGGGGCCTAAGGTATCGTTTTTTTGTAGGAATGGAGGCGATGTTTTTCCGTGGAAGATTCCTTTAATTGTCAGAAAGTAACTTAAGTGCGCATTTGAGTGGAAAATCGCTCCTCATGCCGCTGCACACATCTGGCATCAGTCATTGATCCATCGCCCCAGCACTTTCAAAGTAGGATCAAACCCTAGCGTTGATACCTTTACCAAATTTTCACGATCCTCCCCTCTCGCTATATCATCACCACTATCAGCCTTAGGGGTCCCCCTTACGACTCCTCCTCCCTCACCTCCCCCGACCACAAGTCTCAGCATCACGTCTTCTCCTACAGTAAGTGATTCTAAGAACCCGACACATTAAGCCCCCGCCCGCTTTTTGCCTACAAATTTCTCTTTCCAAAATGCCATAAATGGCTCAGGACGCAGACGGAGGGTAAACATGCTAGAAGAAACAGAAAATTTCCCATTTTTTCTCTTCCTCTTTTACAATCTTCCGTATTCGGCAAAATCGTTGAAAAAAATTTCAGAAAGATTCTCTCCCCTGCATTCAGGACCCCTTTTACTTTACGAATACGATCTCGTCCGAATTTTTACAAGAGTGGTTCCACCATGGTTGGGTTAAGAGCTGTGTGGCCTAGGCAGGATTTGTTTTGATGCAAGTAGTCACCACCGGCTGCGCTATCTCAGCCCATGCATCCTTCGAGGAACGAACCAGAGGTTGTCTCAAAACAGGAGAGCGAGTCTGGTTAATTCAACCAATATAGTATTAATATCGCTGAATCCTACCGTGCTAGAAAGATTTGCCCTCTCCAAGAGCGCTTGCTTGACCTGCATTGTCCTGTCCAATCGGAAATTGATGCTGTCTGTGTTGTCCTTCCCGGTGACGGATTTTTCGAAGTCGAAAACCTAGCATTAGATAGCGGAATTATCAAGAGTCTCTTACAATAACATTGGACTCTAGCTGTGGGATCTGTCCATACTTTTTTGACTACTGTCTCCTTCACAGAAAGTTCCTGTTGATTCTGTTCCATACACTTGAAATTACGACAAACATCCTGGAATCATGATAGAATTTAATCAATACAAGAAAAATATATGCATTAAAAGTAAATTACCCGTATTCTATTGCTGATCTCCGGATGAATGGCTCCAAGCTGATGGACGAATGCTCGAGCTGCGTCGACGAGCTCAGGATTAATACCTGCCAGTGGATCTTTGATGAAGATCCTGAAAGAGTGGGTATACTGCGGAGGAAATCTAAAGGGAATCAATCTTAGATAGCAAGCCTACTTTGGAACTCTCGGTAAGAATTTTCCACCTTCTCTAACGACGGTAGTGACAATAGTGGCAATCTCTTCGAACAACGGAGTTCTTCCTCCACTAAAATATTTTTGATTACTTTCAAAAAAAATTCTGTGTTCAGCACATGTTATGTCATGCATGCTAGCCAAGAACTGAGTTGGAATCCCCATAAGGTTTTGAAAGGAGAGCCAGGTAATTTGATAGAGTTTGGAACGTTGATTACAACTGCTATGTGAACTGAGAAAGTTATGAGCAGTGAAAATTGGCAAAAAAAACGGTATATGAGACGAGCCAACGTCGGCAACTCAAAGTAGCCGTGGCCCTCGCTTTGCAGTCAGCAGGTGGTGTGTTTGTTCCCCGATGGCGCACAATTTTCTGTGCACGGTTCTTTGCACCCATCAGAAGATTCCACCAGAGAAAGAGAAAAACAAAGTCATAACGGGCGCCATTTTTATGATCATTACTACTTCTTGCTCCTGGCAGCTGGGGCTCCGATGGTAGACTGGATGGGTTACAAGGACCTTGAAATGATGCCAGAGCCA